CGAGGAGGCGGGGGGAGTTAATTCAAATAAGCACACTGAAGAAGAAAAAATAAAGATAAAATGAAAAAATAAAGGCTCCTTATATTTTTTTACAGTATGAATAAAATTATTTTAGCGGGTTAATTAGGCATAAAATTAATTAAACGGTTTGTATGAAAAATAGTAGATAAGAAAGCTCTGGAAAAAAGTTTTATATAAAGACATATTTGACATAAACAAATCAGAGCATAGATGTTTATGAAATATAATATTTGAAAAGATTATGTGAATAAATTGTTAAAAATACGATACGTTTGAGAAAAATCATTTTAGAACATTGAAGTCTAATTAGGAAAAGAATTTATTTATAAGGATCACTTTTTATATAGTAAGAATTAAACGGGAAAACAAATTGAGACACATTTAAAAACTTATTTTAGTATGAACAAGTGAGGGAAAAAAACACTTCGAACAAAATTGCACTTAGAGGAAAATGTAAAGACACATTTAAAATAAATTATTTTAATAATATTAAAGTAAGAAAAATAAGTTTTTTAAAGAAACACATTGTAGTAACTAAATTGTATAGAAGTTTTAGAAAAGAATTTTAAAAAATAGAGAAAAGGCAAAAAAATTTTAAAAAGTAAAATAAACAAAGAAAAAATATGAGAATTGACACTTAACAAGTGAAGAAGTGTTAAGGGAACGAATCATGTTTGGTAAAGGGATTCGTTCCCTGATTCGAATCATAATTCGTGGTTCACTACAGTATTTTCTCTCACAAAAAATTCACGTAAATCGAAAATAATTCGAATCACATGGTTTGAATTTTCTAACCAAACGTTTCATAAAATTTTCATATCACTCTGAATATATATATATATATATATATATTCCCAGCATATAAAACGTGATGTGCTCAAGTATTATAGAAGTGAAATTGATGATAAAACTTTCCCACACATGATGGGATGAAAAAGGCATGTGGTCTTCAACAAAAGAGCTTACCATTGATTATTGAACAATATAATATTCAAGAAAATTATATTACTTCGTCATCCATTATAAATTTTCTCCTTGCATCTTTTTAAAAGAAAATAATGAGAGATATAATGTGCCTACCACAAATAATTTATGGCCTTTGATGTTTTATATGCTACCTGTAAAATGGAACAGTTCCAAAGCTCTCAAATAAGTAATGTTCTATTCCCACTTTTTTTTTTTTTTAAAAAAAAAGTAATTGTTCTTAGAGGACAATAAAACAGTCAGTTTCGCTTATCCAAATCTTTATCCAAGCTCTTTTTTTTTTTTTTTTTTTAAATGTGATATGTTTGTCAAACCGTGAATTAAGATGTGGAGTGTAAACAAGAATAATATAGTGCATTTTATTACTTGTAACATGACTTAAATTGATAACGGTGTTTAAATTGGTGATGAAAAATCTAAGCAAGTTCTCAATAAAGACTGAAGGCACCCAAAATTCAATCTCCTTAGTCAGGTTGTACTTAGACAGTATATACCCACACAACTACGTCACGGATCATGTTACGATGTGAACACAGAGAAATGCCCCGTTCATTTCGTTGATTCGAGTTTAGAATTTGAATTTTGCTACAGTAAAAAGCTCTCACAAACAATCACATCTAACTTTTTTGCTACAGCAAAAAGCTCTCACATAAAATCACATCTCAACTCGAATTAAAAACTCGAATCAGCGAACTAAACGAGCCCAAATGTATACTATTCACGCGTATGAGTACTATTCACATATAATACATGTACTATTCACACATACATATACTATTCATACGTATAGATATTATCCAAGCATATGAGTACTATTCACATGTATGGGAGCTATTCAAGCCTCAAGTAATTTGGCATTATAACATTTTATTGTGGATTCACTTGTATTCTTTGATTCGGACATCATAACATCTTATATTAATTCAACTTTTACTCTTAATTTGGACATAATAACGTTTTAAAATTCCTTAAAATGAGATATTTACCTAAACTGTACCATAGTAAAAACGTAAATATGGGATTAGAATTCATACCTTCTTAGCATAATCCCGACCCTTGAAAACAGAATCCCGACCTTAAAAAAAAAAAACTTAAATTAGAATCTACTTTACAAAAAAAAAAAAAAATTAGAGAGAGAAAGAATTTCGTTTATGAAATTCTAAGCCTTAAAAAACTGAATTATGAATTCCTATTTATAGAAAAACTCTCGAGTACTATACAGATACTATGCGCATTGTTTGTAAATAGTATTATTTCATGAATGATTATATTTTACTCTCACTGCCCACATGGTAGTTATATTTTATTCTCTTCTCTCACTATTCAAAAAGGTTGTCATACTTTACTATCATCTCTCACTATTCAAAAGATTGTCATACTTAACTCTTCTCTCTTACTATTTAGTATAGAAGAGTTACATGGTTATGCTCCCCCACCTTCTCATATTATTCTACCATAACGCTAAGTCTTTTAGGGTGCGTTTAGTAGATGGATCTATAATTATGATTCTAGATTTTGATTCAGAATCAGTGTTTATTTACAGTGATTCTGAATCATGATTCAGAATCAGTATTTAATTTGGATGATTATGAATCATGATTCAAAATCTGATGTGATATTTTAAACTAGCTCAAATCATGATTTTAAAACCACCAATCCTCTTGATTCAAGGTGATTCAAACTTCTGATTCTGGATCATGGTTTCAGAATCATGATTTGAACCTAAAATCATAAATCATGGTTCTGGTTCCAGAATCATGATTAGAATTGCCATGGTTTGAATCATCGTACCAAACGAATCCTAATTGTACCACTCCTCACTTAGGTTACGTTTAGTATGAGGGTTTTAGAATCAGAATTATGATTATGGTTCAAATCTTTGTTTGTTTGCAAAAAATAAAAAATGGTTCTTGAAAATCAGTGTTTGGTTTGGATGGTTTTGGTTTAATATTTGAATCCTGATGTGATTTTTTAAACCAGAACCACCCAAAAAAGAAAACCACTTCCCCCTTGATTTTGGATGGTTCAAACCTCTGGTTTTAATTCCGGTTCTAGAACTATGTTCTAGACTATATGTTCAAATCATAAATCGTTGTTTTAGTTCTAAAACTAAAATCACCATAATTTGAACCCTCATACTAAAAGTAACCTTCGTAAATTAGAAGAGCCCTAATATATTGGCCTGTCATAAATAAAATATGACTTCATCATTAGTTCTCTTAAATTTTATATAGCTTTTCCATAATCAATTGGTACCTCTAATAATATTTTTCCTTAAAATATTAACTAAAAGTAAAATCGTCTAAATATTATTCACAAATTTGTGGTTATTACAATAATATCTCAATTTTTTTACTAATTTTTAATGTCAATATAGGTAGAAAATATAAAGTATATAAATAGCATGAAATCAATGTAATAACAATCTATATAGACGTGCCCAACAAGATACAAACTAAAAAAATAAAATTTAATTTTTTATCCACAAGTTTTACTTCAGTCTTTTGCATTAACTTTTTTTAGAAAGTTGCGAAATTTAAATTCAGTAGCTAGAAATCACTTTTTATTGGCGGGCACAACAAAATACCTTAGTCTACAGTTTTAAATATTTTATAAAAAAATATAATATATTTAAATAACAAAATAATAAAATTGCAACTCTAAACTTAAGTATTAAAGGGACAAATTGAAACATAAATTATACATTATTTTTCTCTAATAGAAAGCTTTCCGCACTACAACTCCCTGTCCCGAATAAAATAAAAATAACTTTTTTTTACAAATACCCCTTTAAGTTTTTAAATTTGGCAATTTAGTCCATTTTTTTAACAATTGATCCCTTCAACATAAAAATTTTTATAATTAAAAGTCCAATAAAAAAATAGCATCTATTTTTTTGATCACGTGAAGCTTATGTGAGCCTCTATTAAGGACTAAAAAGGTCATTTCTCAACTTTAGTGTTAAGGACTAGAAAGGTCATTTCTCAACTTTAGAGTGTCTATTTAGGATAATAACCCTTAGAAACTAAAAGTAGTTTATCACAGTTGATTGTGTTCGAATATATTAAATGACTTTACAATCAATATAACTAAACAAATAAGGTGAGAAATGACTTTTTATTACTCTCAATAAATACTCATGTGAGTGTCACATGATTAGATCGTTAAAAAAAATAGACGTTTTCTATTGAACCTTAATTATAAAAATTTAAAAGTTAAAGATGTCAATTGTCATAAACAGAAAAATAAAGACTTGATTACCAGATTCAAAAAATTGAGAGAGTGTCTATAAAAAAAGTAATAAACATATTTATTTTTCTGACTTGTTTCTTTTTTATTTTCTTTTTGAAGAGAGATGTATTTCTTTGACTTGTTGTCTCTTTGTCCTTTATAATTCTCCTTCTTTTGTTTTAAAAAGGTTTCTTTTTTTAATAAATGAGTTGCGTCCAAAATATTAAAAAAATAGTCTTTTTTGGTAGGATAAAAAAATTTTATCAGTAATTTTTTATTTTTAATCATTAAATATATACTAAAAATTGTTTATTTTATATAGTTTTTAATTTAATTTGATTTTGATTATATTTAATAATAGAAATGGGTGGAAAGTCCAAAAAAGAAAACAATTGTTAAAAAATGTTTTGTGTACACTACGCAACCTCCAAAAAACAAAAAAAAAACATTTGCTTAAAAATGTCCACATTCCGCAACCTCCATTTGACCCAGTCCCTAATCAGGATAGCATAGTATTAAGATTAATTTAGAGCAGGACTCTAATTAGAAATCCACAAAGAACCAAAATTTTTTTATTGCGGGCCTATAAATACCACCCCAATAAACCACAGAATTTTCTGTTCAAGAAAACAATTTGCGAAAAAAAAAACCTCGGAGTTTCTCTTTTGATCATCACATTCATTCGATCTCTACCAAGCCAAAACTCGAATACCCTTTTGCCGAAAAGCCCCCAAAAGAAGAAATTTCCTGTTTTTTGATCGTTCTTCGGTTGGCAAACAGTGGTTTCCTTTCTGGGTTGTTTCTGTTTTTCTGGGTTTTGCTTTGTCGCGGTGATTATGGGAAGTTCGAGAAGAAGAGGACAAGGCGTTTTTGCTGATCAAGAAGGTTATATGGTGAGATCAAAAAATTACAGAAGATCATCTCAAGGTATGTTCTTTTTTTTTTTTTTTTTCCCTTTCTTATGGAATTCTTTATTTTATTTATTTGTTTTTAATGTTTTAAATATTCGTGTTATTATTTTCTTATTCTCTCTGAAGATGGTTTGGAGTTCCTTTTGTCTTATTTGCTCATTGATGGATGAAATGCTTTTTTTTTCTTTGATAATGCCTTCTTTTAATTTGTTAATTTTCAAACAAGTTTTTGCCTTGTAGATTGTGTATTTTTGTTTCCTTCTAAAGTGGAACGAATTCAAATATTTTATTTTGTTTGGATTTTTTTTTTCTATTTCACTAAGCTAATATTTTGAGTCAGGGTAAAGTTTTTCCTTCTTATCATGGCCTAGGTGAGTTTTTGTCTGAGGAGATTTTTGACGTAAATCCAGATTAACTGCATTAGAGTGTTTTGAATGGAGAGTCTTAAATGATTTTACTAAGTTTAGCACATAATCTTATTTGGGGATGTTTATATTTGGTAAATTTAGTGCAAATTTATTTTAGTTTCCATTAACGGCTTACAATATTGGGAAATTTTTCATCTGATTCTAAAAGTATAAAAATGCGAACGAACATTATGCTGGGGAAAGAGCAAACAAGTTGTGCATAAAGTTACTATATAGCTATTTTTCCTCACTGTATATTTTATACTGGATTTTCATGTAAATACTCTGTTTTATCTTGATTTTTTTGACTTGTTTTCTTAGTTATTTGCTCAATTGTTGTCTCTCTTATTCCAAACTGCCTTTTGTTTTTCCTCTTGACATAAATTATTTTCATTTACTTTATCCTTAGTGCCATTCTCACTGGAATTTCCTTTACCGTTTTGCAGAAACTTGGCAAGTGCCTTCATGGGAAAAGAAATTCTGCTTTTCTGTTGGTTCAGTTCCATGGGGAAAGCTCTTGGAAACCAAGAAGTATATCTATCTCTACGACAGCGTCGTTAAGTGGAATGATTCTGCTGGTGAAGAGGCTTTCAACAATGCGAAGAGCAGGTTTTGGGCGAAGATCAATGGCCTTCCATGTGACATATCATCGCCTGATCCAGATATCTACATTGATGACATAGACTGGGATGCCAGCATTGATCCCGAGCTCTTTTTGGACTTGGAAAGAGAGCCTGAACCCTCCGATGAAAGTAACCAAGGTGAGAGGGTTCTGATTCTAGGTGATTCCCACATCGATCAGCCCTTTTCGTGCACTGGATGGGGTGACGCCGAAGAGGTTTTTCAGAAAGGTAACGAAGCTCAGAACCCTGGAGGAACTGATGATCAGAAAAATCCGTGGGAACAGAGTTGTGAATGGGGAAACAAAGACATTAGGGGTGATCAACAAGGATGGGGTCACAACTCGAATGGATGGGGTAAGGGGTTCGATCACTGGGGGAACAACTATGGCAACTCAGGAAGAGTTTATGGAGATCATTGGGGAACATTGGGCACACATAATTGGAACAAAGATGGCTCTGGTTGGAACAATTCAAGGTATAAAGCCTCGAGATTTCCCGGTGATGACTATCGGACGGCGGATCATGGGTGGAGAGACAGTTCAGGAAGAAGGAAAGGGGTGAATGTTGCATATGAGAAACACGCTTTGAGGCAGTGGAACGTGAAATCCTCCGCTCCAGTCGTGTAGATGCTGGAGCAAGTCAGTTTTGCAAAGAGGGTAACAACACATTTTCGATATATTGGATTTGTTTTACATTCTTTGGTTGTTTAGTACAGAAAAAAAAAAAAAAAGGAAGTGGTAATATATAGAAGTTTTGAGCAAGTTTAGGAAATTATATATAAGCTTGTTGGCAGACTCCACGGCAGGCAATTTTGGTGCTTCATTTTTTTTGTGTCGGTTGTAGAATATGATACGACGACAATTATTTTATTGCTAGTGAGTATTGTATTTATTTATTTATTTTTATAAATTCTACTACGCGTTATGTAAATATTAGAGTGTGCAGAACAAGCATGTAATGGGATACTTGGTAAAGTAATGAAAGTATATATTTTGCCCCAACTTTGGACTCTCTGTCTTGTAGCTCTTTATCTTTTCGTCTTAAGCAATTTTATGGGCATCGCTGAAATTGTGTCGCACAGATGAGTTTACTTTGTATTAGTTTTGGTGTTTAGCATTTTTCTTTAGTTTTTTAGTTGGATTTTTGCGTACCGCAATTTTGAGGTTATCATGTTAAGAAACTCTGGCTTAAATGTGCTTTTCTGCGCCTGCATGCCTTATTAATGTATGATGTCTTGTCTCTGAGATTAATCTAAGCGGCTAAACTTGCTTAAGTTGGTATTTCTTTATTTTTATTTGTTCAGCTTTTTGATTACGTGTAGAGGATTTCATAAACTAGGCCCGTTCACTTCGTTGATTCGAGTTTGTAATTCGAGTTGAGATGTGATTTTGTGTGAGAGTTTTTTACTGTAGCAAAAAAGTTAGATGTGACTGTTTCTGAGAGCTTTTTACTGTAGCAAAACTCGAATTCTAAACTTGAATCGGCGAAATGAACGGGGCCGACTATTCTGCTAAGTCTGCCATTTAAGGCCCATTTAGTTCGTTGATTCGAGTTTTTAATTCGAGTTAAGATGTGATTTTATGTGAAAGTTTTTTACTGTAGCAAAAAAGTTAGATGTGATTGTTTGTGAGAATTTTTTACTGTAGTAAAACTCGAATTCTAAACTCGAATCAGTGAAATAAACGGGGCTTAAATCTTTCCCAATAACTGAGAGCGAATCAGTCTTCTTTTTTTCTTTTCTTTTTTTTTCCTTTTTTTTTTTGTTTTGGGGTGAGGGAGGAAAGCGAACGTTTCATTATTTCCTCCCCCACCTTATTTTTTCTTTTCTAGCTTTTAAGGAGAGATTTTTTAATACACAGTACGTAAAAAAAATTTAATTTTTTAACCGTTAAATTTATATATTTTTAAAATTTTATGTGATTTTATAGAGATTTAACCACATAAATAATTACAAGACAACAAAAATCAATCTGAAAAAAAACTTGGAAATAAGACATAAATGTGGTTGTTTTTTTTAACGAAATTCTAAAAAAGTTTAAATTCGAGTTACGATTTTATTCAAGTTCATATTTTTTTATAAAATTTGAGTTTGAACTCAAATTTGAGGCTAAACTCAAGTTCAAATTTCTCCTTCAACTCGAGTTTATAAAATCGAATTCAAATTAATGAATAATATTTTTTCTATTCTTAAAAATGCCATAACTTTTTCGTTTTAATTCTACTTAAGATGATTTTTTTCTATGCATTCACAACGAAAAGACGAATAAAACCCTATCTATATGCTCTATTAAAATTTTTTATCACTATTGAGTTTTTATTAAAATACTATCTAAATATAAATTTAAGTTTTAACTTACTCAAATATAAACTCAAATAGATTCTCAATTCAAATTATAATTAAAATGTGCACATCTAAATACAAACTTAAATTACAATTTCAACTTAAATTATAACTCAAACTTCACCCAAAATTATCACTCAAAAAAATACAAAGAACAACCCCCAATTATTGACAAAAAGAAATATATGTGATTTTATGTGAGAGTTTTTTATTATAGTAAAAAAATTAAATGTGATTATTTGTGAGAGTTTTTCACTGTAGTAAAACTCGAATTACAAACTCGAATTAGCAAAGTGAACGGAACGGAAAGAAAAAGTCAGATAAATATTTGTGAGAATTTTTCACTTAGTAAAACTCGAATTAGCAAAGTGAACGGAACGGAAAGAAAAAGTCAGATAAATTGCAAGCAACCAGATAATCATAATCATAAAAGTAATCAAATGCAAATGTTTGATGGCAAAGATCTACGAGTCCGACGGCCTCTGGTCGGCGTCGGAGAGGCCGTCTTCGTCTTTATCCGGTCTCACGTCGTCGATCGAGTCTCCGTCGCCAGCTCTGGTCAGATCCGGCCAAATCTGGTTAGTAGATCGGCTACAACGAAGCTTAGGCTCCAAGCAATTCGCTCCGATAATCGCGCACTTATCGGCGTGTACTCGACGCCGTTTGGCGGTGGCTCTATCGCTCTCGCCCCGTCGTGGAAATTAGGATAACAGAATTAGATTTAGAGTAGGACTCTAACTAGAATTCTAGAAGGAATCAAAAATACCGCCGGGCCTGTAAATACCACCCTAAACCAAAGAATTTTTTCTTCAACAATTTGCAAAAAATATTTAAAAAAAAACTCGGAGTTTCTCTTTTGATCATCATATTCGATCTCTGCCAAGCCAAAACTCGAATACCCTTTTGCCAAAAAGCCCTCCAAAGAAGAAAATTTCCTGTTTTTGATCGTTCTTCGGTCGGCAAAAAGTTGTTTTCTTGGCGAGTTGTTTTTCTGTTTCTCTGGGTTGGGTTTTGCTTTGTGGCGGTGATTATGGGAAGTTCTAGAAGGAGACGACAAGGCGAATTCCGTGATCAAGAAGGTTATAGAGTGAGATCAGATAGTTACAGAAGATCATCTCAAGGTATGTTTGGCTTTTGAGTTTCTTGAATTATTTGTTGTATAGTTATTTGTTTGTTTTTGAAGTTTTAAAGATGGTTTGTTTTTCTCGTTTATTTGTTTTCATGGCAGTCTGTTTTGGAATTTTTGTCCTATTTTGCTTACTGATCGATAAAGAGCGATCAAGTTGTGCATAAAAATGCTATATAGCTATTTTTTCTCATTGCAATTGTATACTGAATTTTCATGTAAATACTCCGCTTTATCTTGATTTTTGAGTTGTTTTATTAGTTATTGCTCAATTTCTGTGTCTCTTATACTTGACTGCTTTTTTGTCTCTTAATGTAAACTATTTTGATTTCCTTCATCCTTAGAGCCATTCTCACTGGAATTTCCCGCTTTACTATTCTGTTTTGCAGAAACTTGGCCAGTGCCTTCATGGGAAAAGAAATTCTGCTTCCGCGTTGGTTCAGTTCCGTGGCGAAAGCTCTTGGAAACAAAGAAGTATATGTGTCTGTACGACGGCGTCGTAAAGTGGAACGATTCTGCTGGTGAAGAGGCATTCAACAATGCGAAGAGCAGGTATTGGGCGAAGATCAATGGCCTTCCGTGTGACATATCGTTGCCTGATCCCGATATCTACATCGACAACATCGACTGGGATGCGAGCATTGATCCCGAGCCCTTTTTGGACTTGGAAAGAGAGTCTATACCGTCCGAATCCGATGAAAGTAACCAAGGCGAGAGGGTCGTGATTCTAGGCCATGCCCTCCTCATGGATCAGTCCTTTTCGTGCATTGGATGGGGTGACACTGAAGAGGCTTTTCAGAAAGTTACCGAAGCTCAGAACGCCGGAGGGTCTGATAATTGGAAAATTCCGTGGGAACAGAGGTGTGATTGGCGAAACAAAGACATTAGGGGTGATCATCAAGGATGGGGTTACAACTCGAATGGATGGGGTAACGGGTTCAATCGATGGGGGAGCAACTGTGACAACTCGGGAAGAGCTTACGGAGATCATTGGGCGACATGGGGCGCTAATAGCTGCAACAAAGATGGCTTGGGTTGGAACAATTCAAGGTATAAAGCCTCGCGATTTCGTCGATGGGGGAGCAACTGTGACAACTCGGGAAGAGCTTACGGAGATCATTGGGCAACATGGGGCGCTAATAGCTGCAACAAAGATGGCTTGGATTGGAACAATTCAAGGTATAAACCCTCGCGATTTCGTCGATGGGGGAGCAACTGTGACAACTCGGGAAGAGCTTATGGAGATCATTGGGCGACATGGGGCGCTAATAGCTGCAACAAAGATGGCTCAGGTTGGAACAATTCGAGGTACAAAGCCTCGCGATTTCACTGTGAGAACTATCAAACGACGGATCATGGGTGGAGACACAGATCGGGAAGAAGGAAGCGGGCGAATGTTGCGTACGAGAAACACGCTTCGAGGCTCCACGCCAGTTAGGTAGTTGCTGAAGAGCAAGCCAGTTTTGTAAAGAGAGTAACAACACATTTTAGATACTTTTGTTGTTTTTCCATTCTTTGGTTGTTTAGAAGTGGTACATATATAAAGTTTTGAGGAAGCTTAGGAACTATTATAAACTTGTTGGCAACTCTACGGCAGGCGATTTTAGTGCTTCTTTTTTTTGCATTGGTTGTAGAATATGATATTACTTAATTAATTTGTTGCTTTATTTTATTTTACCATACGTTATGTAAATAATATTGCAGAACCGGCATGTCATTGGGATATTTGGCTTAAGTTATGTTTTGCCTAACTTTGGACTCTTCTTGTGGATTTTCTCTTTTCGTCTTGAGCAATTTTAGGGGCATTGCAGAAAGTGAGTCCCACGTCATGTGATTCACAGATGAGTTCATTTTATATTAGTTGTGGTACTTAACATTAAGAGCGCTCTAAGTATTAAGATTATGTTTATTTTTTGTATTCGTCTCTGATTTTGAATCAGATTCATAATTCTCTACAGTATTTTTTTTTCACAAAAAACACATGTAAAATAAAAATAATTCTAAATCATGATTTTAAATCGATGAACCAAACGTTTACTAATATTTTTCTTTAGTTTTAGTTGCTTACCAATTTTTGATGTTGATCAAGTTAAGAAACTCTCGCTTAAAATGGTTTTTTTTTTTTTTTTTTTTTTTTTTTTTTTGCGCTATTTGCCTTATTATGTCTATTTCCGAGATTACTAATCAAAGCTAGACTTGTACCTTATTTTGTTTAAAAAAAAAAAAAAATTGTCCCTTATTATTTATTACGTGTAGAGGAGTTTGAATAAACTACTACGCTAAGGCTACCATCATACATGATATAATGGAGTAAACCAAAGGATATTCCAGAACAAACAAACCATGTCAAATGGACCGTGAACGTAAATCATGTCTGAAAAAAAAAAATTTGTTTTACAACTAAATTGCATAAATTTCTGGTTGATAAAATTTTGATGGTTTAGCTTAAAACTACGACAGTAAATTTTTGTTTTTTTGTTTTTTTTTAAGAAAACGACAGTATACGTATAAACTTAGGGGTGGCAATTCGTGTCACATGTCGTGTTCGTGTCGTATTTTGATCGTTTTTTTTTTTAAATTTATAGTCAACCCGAACACGACCCATGACACGAAATTTTTTAAAAACCGCAACACGAACACGACACGACCACTTTACGAGTTGACACGAAACGACCCGAAAATGACCCGTGACACGAAATTGACCCGTGAATCCGAAATTGACACGAAAATTGTATACTTTTATTTAATTTTTTACATATTAGAAATAACTTAAAATGCATAACATACTAAATTACTATAACATCCATTGGAATTAAGCAAATAATAGTATAAGATTTTGAGTATAACTATCATGATATCACAAGTTCATAATAAAATTTAAAATATGAAATGAAAAATATATGTATTTTTTAGTTTTTTACAAGTTTCGTGTCGTGTTCGGGTTAGGCAGGTCCAACCCGAATTGATCCGTGTTTTTCGTATCAATTTCAGGTCGACCCGATTTTGACTCAAATATCTTTTTTCTCAACCCTAACCTATAAAATTCGTGTCATTTTCGAGTCGTGTCGTCGTGTTGTGACCCATATTGCCGGCCCTATATAAACCACAATGAACATATCGTTCTTTGAATTTTGATGCAAACGAACTCTTTTTTATTTTTGAGTAATGATGTGAAAGATTTTTTAAAACTTAAAATTCGTGTTAACTTTTTCCCGTATTTTTTAAATTAAATAAATAACAAAACAAAACAAAAAATTCCTAAGAAGATAGAAAGCTACAGGTCGTTTCACTTTTCATCCAAACGACACATAAGAGAATCCTTCTATTCTTTCCTCAAACGACGTCGTATTTCCAAAGAGTAGTGGATATTTATTCTCAGATTCTGGAGTCTTCGAATCCATTCTGAAACTCAAAATCAAACCCTAGAAGTTTCGTCGGACCAATCCTCTTCATTCTTCAATCCTCTTCTACGTTTCTTACTAAAATTCTGTAATCGGAACTCTCAAGCCCTAGAATTTTTGGTCGATTTTATTCTCGATTCCTTTTTGTTCTGTGAATCAAATCTATGGAAGCTCCTGAGCCTTCTTTTCCTCCTCCTCCTCCTCCGCCTGCAGCCCTAGATTCTTTTCAGCTTCAACCTCCTCAAAAAACGCAAGAAGCTCCTGACGAGCAGAAAGCTCAAACGCTAGCACCGGAAGATCACCAGAATGGCTTCTCGGCTTCCGCAGAGACCGCGACGAAGCCTGAAATTCAGAAGCCGCTGGTCTCCGAAAACGGCCTGACGGGGAACACCCACAGCGGTACGGACAGGGACGGCTCCGGTGGCGAGGAAGAGACGACGAGCAGGCGCCGCCGCAGGAGCCGGTGGGACCCGCAGCCGGAATCTGATAGCCAGAGCGGCGGCGGAGAAGGCGATTCAGGGAGCGGGACGCGGAAGAGGAAGTCGCGGTGGGCCGACGACGATCCGAAGCCGGTGATTCAGCTGCCGGATTTCATGGGAGGTATTGAGTTTGATCCAGAAATTCAGGCTTTGAATAGTAGGCTTCTTGAGATTAGTCGAATGTTGTCTTCGGGCTTGCCTTTAGATGACCGTCCTGAAGGAGCTAGGTCTCCTTCACCCGAGCCTATATATGATAATATGGGAATTAGGATCAATACTAGAGAGTATCGTGCACGTGAAAGATTGAATAAGGAGAGGCAGGAGATTATAGCTCAGATTATTAAACGAAACCCGGCGTTTAAGCCGCCGGCGGATTATAGGCCGCCTAAGCTTCAGAAGAAGCTTTACATTCCTATGAAAGAATACCCGGGTTACAATTTTATTGGGCTAATTATTGGCCCTAGGGGTAATACCCAGAAGAGGATGGAAAAAGAGACGGGTGCGAAGATTGTAATTCGCGGTAAAGGATCGGTGAAAGAGGGTAGGTTGCAGCAGAAAAGAGATTTGAAACCTGACCCCTCTGAGAATGAGGATTTGCATGTTTTGGTTGAGGCCGAGACGCAAGAAGCTCTTGATGCCGCGGCAGGTATGGTGGAGAAGCTCTTGCAGCCTGTGGATGAGGTTCTAAATGAGCATAAGAGGCAGCAGCTTAGGGAACTTGCGGCCTTGAATGGGACCATTAGGGATGAAGAGTATTGTAGATTGTGTGGCGAGCCGGGTCACCGCCAGTATGCCTGTCCTTCACGTACTTCGACTTTCAAGAGCGACGTTCTTTGTAAAATTTGTGGTGATGGTGGCCATCCCACTATTGATTGTCCAGTGAAGGGCACAACTGGAAAGAAGATGGATGATGAGTACCAAAACTTCCTGGCAGAGTTAGGCGGAACAGTTCCCGAGTCTGTGACAAAGCAAACCCCTACATTAGCAATTGGTGCAGGCAATTCAGGAAGTAATCCTCCGTGGGTTAACAACAATGCTAGCAGTAATGGTACTAGCGCACATCCAGGTTTGGGGTCAACGGTAATCAAGCCTAAGGAATTTGATGATACTAATTTGTATATTGGATACTTGCCACCCACTCTTGACGACGATGGTTTGATCCGATTGTTTTCACCTTTTGGTGATATTGTCATGGCAAAGGTCATAAAGGACCGGATTATGGGATTGAGCAAAGGCTATGGTTTTGTGAAGTATTCTGATGTCCAAATGGCCAATACTGCTATTGCAAGCATGAATGGTTTTCGTCTGGAGGGTCGAACTATTGCCGTCAGAGTTGCTGGAAAGCCTCCACAGCCTGTTGTGCCTCCTGGACCGCCTGGAGCTGCAGCCTCCACTTTTCCTGTTTCAAGCCAGCCTGTGGGTGGCTATCCATCACAGCAATTTGCCCCTGGTGGTCCCATAGGAAATGCACCACCTGGTAGCTATTCAGCTACACCACTTCCCTGGGGTCCCCCTGTTCCTTCTCCATATGCTGGTTATCCACCTCCTCCTCCGCCCGGTTCAAGCATGTATCCTCCTCAACCTATGGCCCCATATGGCGTGCAGTATCCTCCATCCATGCAGACAATTTCACCTGGTGCCCCATCTCAGCCTACTGTTTCAAGTGAAGCGCAGCAGAGTTACCCTCCTGGTGTGCAGTCTGAAAATAGCACTGCTACTCAGTCTCTGCCCACCAATATCTATGGGAACACTTTTGCTGGAATGCCTCCGAATGCTCAGCCTTCATATCCTGCATCATCTTATGGTTACTCATCTTATTACAGTGCAGTACCGCCCCCTCCTGTACCTGTACATGGCTCGAATACAAACCAGTCCCAGAGCATTGGTAATGTTCCTTGGGCCCCAAGTCCCGCTGTTCCACCACCTCCTCCTCCTGCAGAGAAGCCAAGCTATGGTGCAGATGCGGAGTACGAGAAGTTCATGGCAGAGATGAAATGATTCGGTTCTCTTCTTAGTTTGTCTTCGAGTTGGCAGGTATGAGGTCGCACCTTCTTTGCTTAGTTCATAATTTTCCACGCGATTAAAGTTCAACCCTTATTTTCCTTCTTTTTTGACGTGGCCGAGGACAATGTTGTAGTTGTCATGCCGTTGATTTCTGAATTTCATTTTAATTTTTTCTGATCTCTAGTTTGTGCAGCATTCAGTAATCTCTTTGGCTAAGATGGAGATCTGTTTTCCTTGTAGATACATGCTAAGTCGTAGTTGGTTCTTTTTCTTACCTTTCTGAGCGTCTAACTGTTGTCCTTTTCTTTTATGGTTGGTTATACTAAGATTAGGAAGCTAGTGGAGTTTTTCAGCTGACATTTGTTTTGCAGCTACAACTTTGACTTGGGGTCTCAATCACGTTTTTCATGATGTGCAAGTCATTGTAGAACTTCTAGTATTGTATGATTAGTTGCTATTTTCTGAAACTATACATATGTGCTATATAGTGCTCATGAGTGATCAAGTCTTTTATAAGTATAAGAAATAAAAATTGACATGTAAACTTCTATAGAGAATAATCTTTCTATAAAGGCATATCAATGTGCTGGATGGGTGTGGGGTGTGTGAATGGGCCACATGATTTACTCATTTATTCTGCTTTCTATAAGTTTTAACAAGTAAATTTTTTTATCCTTTTCAAAAATCTCTCTTTAATGCTTCACATCACGGAATTTTTCTTGTTCTTTTGTATATATCAACGTCATATACAGAAAACAAGTGATTCTATGATCAATGTAAGTATGTTTCCTCAAGAAGGTTGTTATTTCTTTTAACAAAAATGTTGTTCAACCTGAGAGGGTTGAGTCAGGTTCTCTCATAAAGAAAATTTGTGTTGTGAGAGAACCTGAATCAACTTCGTCGGGTTGAATACGGGTGCTCTTTTAATTTGTAAAAGCTGAACAGCCATGCAGGAGGTCTTAATGATGCGTGAGTGTGATTAAGTTTCTATTTTTCATATCTATTCCACAAGAAGATGCACATGAACGTCGCATCGATACTAGTGGAATTAAAATTAGTGATTTTGTCTAAATTGCTTTATCTTGCCTCTACAATGCTTAACGCTTCTCTGTTGAACTATGTAAAATTTTTACAGGACTGATGTTTCTTGGAGCTCTTGTGAACCTGATTTCTTACCTCTTGCCATGACTTTGTTGGAAGTTTGGGACTCACCTCTTTAACCTTCCTGTAGTGTTATGCAGAAACTTGGCTGGAAGTGCGATTCAGTTGGCCTATCTTGGAGAATCAATTTTAAACCATATTATAATTCATCATCGTTTTTTATTGGACTTTTGTCATATTGCAGTTGCTTTATTATGTCTTGTTACTAATGTTTTCCCCATTTATGCCTGAATTTTTTTTAATACCTAATCTGGCACTGACACTCTTTTGTTGCGTTGACTTCTTGGGTTGCTTAATTTATTTTATGCTTGCTCTAACTATTTGATTATAGTTCTAATTTTTACTTTGAGGGTTCTAAGATTCCAATTCCTTACCACATGGTGCTGAAGCTGTTGCTCGGATGCTTTTCCAGTGCCGTTTAAAAGGTAAACTGCGCTTTACAAGGGCGTTTTTGCTTGGTAGGTGCGGGAGATGAAATTTACCCGTACTTCTGCTCTTACATTAATTGTGTTTTCCATTACTCTACATGTTATTTTGATGTCTACTTTTAGTTTTTTTGGTGGCAGGTAAAGCATACTCGTAACTATTTGGTAGTCACTGCTTTATGAATTGTCAGGATCTGGAGGGGGTCTCCTATCATTGGTTGGCCTCCCTTAAATTTGAATTCCGTCGACATTTTAGTAAGGAAGTCATCTGTGCTTTGGTACGGCACCGGCTCTAGTTGATAGGGTTGTTTAGAAAGATTAAACAGAAAGATGACTGATGAATTTTGCTATTTGCTATTGATAGATTCTCAGGCGATACTTGTGATTTTCATGTTTGTTTAATGTTCTGGGGGTTGAACAAGGGTTATTGGCTGGCCTTGATTTTAAAATTTAGTACTTAGTATATCCTTCACTAATGACGACTCTAATATGTTTGCAATAAATACTTGGTGAAACAAAGCGATGATTTTGTCAAAAAAAGAAAAAAAAAATGATTCTAGTTTGGTGCATGTTGTGTTTTTGTCAAATTAGGCCATTATTTCTTTTACAACACTAGGGAACTGATTAAACCATAGTAACAACTTGTTGGATGGTTACAGAACATAAGCATGATGGTGGAATTGATTCGCTAAATAATTTCTTGTGGCCTTCATTCCTTAAAGAAGGCGGTTAAGTTTATTTTTAGCCCTTGAGGAATAGGTCACGCTTTAATTTGATACCTGATTTTCAAATTGAAGTGGCACAGTAATAAAGTCACATGAGGGGATGATATACTTTAAGGGGAAAAAGAAAAGCAAAAAAAAAAAAAAAAATACAGGTGAAATGACATAGTCAAGGCAACAAGGAGGTTGGGGTTTCTCATTGTAGGAAAGTTTTAAAAAAAAATAAAAAGAACAGAGAGTAGTTTTCGATTTGGTTCGATTCTATTTGAAGTGACAATTAAGAACTTGAAACCTAGATGAACTATGAGAAGGTTGGTTTCGGTTTTTCCTGCTGAATTGTTCGGTTTCAATTTATTGGTCTATTTTTTGTGATGGTTTTGTTGTTTTAATCAATTAATTTAGGTTCTGTTTATTTTATCGATTCGAGTTTTGATACAGTAAAAAATTTTAAAAAATAATTATATTTAATTTTTTTATTACAGTAAAAATTTTATATAAAGTTATGTCTCAATTTGAATTAAAAATTTAAATTAACGAGTTAAACGAGTCTTTAATTTACTCATATTGGTTTTTATGTACAGCATTATATGCGCCCGCAAATCCCATCCTTGACTACACACCACCGTGATTTGAAATGTTTTCTTTTTATCTTTATTTATTTTTTTGGTATCTTTATGAATTAAACCTAAGTTATATGACTACCTATTCACCTGTTGTAATGAATCAACATTTGTGCCAAGTAACCTCTGCATACTTTTAACTCAACTATCGCAGAAGCAACATTATCATCCCAAAAATACCCACCATGATAATGTTTATTTACTAACCAAAATTCAACACATTTAAGTTTGAGTAAGAGGAATTAAAATTAATAAGGCAGTAGTTTATATAAGTTAATAAATATGTTAAATTACTGTTTTTGTCTATAACTTGTCTGGTTATGAATCATAACTTGACAAGTTATTGTCCATAATTCACGATTTTTGTCCATAACTTGTTTGGTTATGAACCATAATTTGACAAGTTTGTTCATAATTTATCTGATTATGAACTATAACTTGATAAATTATGGCCTATTAATTTCTATAATTAAAAATTAGCCTATATACTTTCTTAAACTTTTCATATTAACCTATTTTCTACTATTTCTCTTTAAGTTTGTTGTTACCATGCCCGTGTTAGGTTCAAAAATTCGAACCAAAAGTTCACATCAGGAATCAAGTTTACCAAATTAATGTTCGGTAGAGAAAACAATTTGAACCATTTGGAATAGAAATTCTAAACTCATAATCTTGAATTCAACTGCTCCCCTAAATTTCAAGTCCAACAATACAAATCTATATGCTATAGTGAAAGCGGTCGAATTGTTGCTCTCTCTCTCTCTCATACTTCAAGCTCTAAAATGTCATAAGTTTTTTTTTAATTTTTTAATTTTTTAATTTTTTTATTTCTACTTCAATTGAGATGACGGCCTCGTTCATTTTACCGATTCGAGTTTTTAGTTTTAGGTTTTTACAGTAAAAAGCTCTCAGAAAATGTCACATATAACTTTTTTCTGCTACAGTGAAAAGCTCTAAGAAAATGTCACATCTCAACTCGAATTAAAAACTCAAATCCGCGAAGTAAACGATGCCGAAATAACTCCCTATCCATATTTTATATTAAAATCTCTCATTTACAATGAGGTTTTTTTTAAGATTCGTTATAAAATTTCAATGACAGTTTTCAACACTATTCAAAAAAATTATATTTTATTTCCACTTCAAATTATAATTTATTAGCATATCCAAATATCAATTCAAATTACCTCAGTTCAGATTTTTTATCACAATTGACACAATTGTTTTTGGGAAGCTCCTCAAGAAAAAACTCTATATGATGTTGTTCTTATATATACGATGCCGCACTAACGGATTGATAGTTTGCAAGATTAGAATTCTTAGTGTGAGCATATTGAAACTTTTAAGAGTCGTTTGGAAACAGTGCCTATTATACAAGTTAAAATTAAAATTAACCCTAAGAAATAAGTAAATATAGTATTGGTAAACACAAAAATTATAGTGGGTGGCTGATTTAACCATCCTAATGTAGTAAATAATGATATTATAAAATACTTTTTTTTTTACATCCAATTCGAATCTTGGTGGTTTCGTTTATTTTTAATACATTAGAAGCCATAAACCTCACACTGTATTATATTTTTTGGTGCCAAATATACAATTGGCATTAGTATTTACATTGAAGATGATTTAATCAAATTATATTTTCTATCATAAATTTGACAAATTCTATAGTTGATTTTTATTAGTTGATATATTAACTTTTTTTTTTATTTAATCATCTCAACATTGCTCTTTTTAAATGAATTTTATTATTAAAAGTTTACTTTTACAAGTTTCAAAACTTAATAATTATGTCAAAAAGTAGATATAACAAATAGAATAAGACCTCAATAGGTCAATTTTATAATTTTTTTAGTGGTAAATATATCATTTTTTATTGGCATTAGCATTTGCTCTAATGATCTAAATAGTGTAATCTTGATTTTCACTCCTTTTGAAAGCAGCAATTGGTTTGTTTTCCTATTTGAGAAAATTATTAAACGTATCCAAGTGTGGATGGTCTTGATTTTTATACTTTTATTCTTGATAATTATTCGTCTCATTTTTCCTTTCCTGTTTGGGCTAAAACGACCCAACGACTCACTTCTTCAGGCCCATTATTACTCCAACAGGCCCATTTATTTCTGCTAGTGTCTGAACTCGGAAGTCTGAACTCCAAAAGCGCCAAGCTTTGCTCTTGCTCGTCGCGATCGAGTTCTGAAGCCTCGAAAAGCTTCACTCTCTCTCTACACAGCAGAAAAAAACTTCTCTTATTTGTGTCTCTCTTAACTGCGAAGAAGCAAGGCAAGCCTCTCCTCTTTACTCTTGTGATCTCAGTGTTCTTTTTGCTATTTTAAGTTCCTTTTCATGATTCTTTGTGTTTTTGGCGTTCCTTCTGTTTTCTCGCGGGAGAGGGTGTTAGTTATAATAACAGTTGAGAGAGTAATTCGATTCTTCTGTTTTCTCTTCACCATTTTATGTCTTTAACTTCTGGGTTTTTCGTTATTAGTTGTTTAGCGTCTTTTAGTTAGTTGCCCAGAAATTCGATTCTTACAATTCTGCATTTTTCCTCATCTGGGTCTCGACTTGGATGGCGTGAAATGGTTAAAGAAGCTTTGTGTTAGTTGAATTTCGTTTTGGGTATTCGCACTGAAGATATATATAGAAGAATTGATGAGACAACGTTTAATTTGGGAGTTCAAGTGGGATTTTATGCTGCGTTGTTCATGTGCACGCTAACTGTTCGATGATATGTCTCAGTGAAGGAATAATGATGAGCTTCTTTCTACTCACGTTAAACCTCATTTTATTAATATTCCTTAACGTATTAGATTATGGATTCTACGTAAAATTGATATGGTCATTGTATCTAATTGTTGGTGAAATTGACTATATGTTGCATTAAATGTCTTATGTGATAGTTCCCATGAAAAATTACGTGCTTATGTAGCTTTATTAGTTGGGTTCTTGGTCCGCATTATTGTACTTGTTATCATTCATTTCCGTCCTTCTCTATATTATGTTTTTGTTGGTTCATTTTTTTCCATGTACTTTCTTGGATGATTATTTGAAATTCTCGTTTCATATTGCATATGACAAGCTACTGGAGTTTGAGTTACTGGATAACATTTATTAACTTCTTAAACTTTCTCTTGGCTAGGTATCATGGAAGTCGATGAGGAAAACCCGCCTTCATCAACTCCAGTAGAAGCGTCTTCTCTAGTTGATGATGGTCAAACTGTAGTTCCTGCTGTAAATAGTACTGCAATTCAACCAATCCCGCCTATTATTCCACCAGTAATACCACCTCCAGTTGTGCCACCAGTGGCGCCTCCGATTGTGCCTGCTATGGCTCCAATTCCTACATTGCCTACTCCACCTGTTCTCCGACCATTGGCACCGCTACCAATCCGTCCTCCTATTCCTAGACCTCCAGTTCCACAAAATGGTGAGATGAGAACAAGTGACTCAGATTCCGACGATGACTCGGACCCAGGGCGCACTGCTCCAGGTTCAACTCAGGAGTATGAGATATCAGAAGAGAGCAGACAAGTGAGAGAGCGACAAGAAAAAGCAATGCTAGAGCTGATGATGAAGCGACGTGCTTCTGCTCTAGCAGTGCCTACTAATGACATGGCTGTCCGTGCCCGTCTACGCCGGCTAGGTGAACCTATTACACTCTTTGGAGAAAGAGAGATGGAAAGAAGGGACCGGTTGCGAATGCTCATGGCAAAGTTGGATGCTGAAGGGCAGTTGGAGAAGCTGATGAAAGCTCATGAGGAGGAAGAGGCTGCAGCCTCTGCTACAGGAGAAGAGGCTGAGGAAGAAATGCTTCAATATCCGTTTTATACTGAAGGGTCCAAGGCTCTGTTGGATGCTAGAATTGATATTGCAAAGTACTCCATAGTGAGGGCAGCCACACGGCTTCAACGCGCGCAGAGGAAAAGGGATGACCCGGATGAGGATGTGGATGCTGAGATGGATTGGGCTCTGAAGCAGGCAGGAAGTTTGGCGCTTGATTGCAGTGAGATTGGGGATGACCGTCCACTTTCTGGTTGCTCATTATCTCGAGATGGAAAGTTTCTTGCCACATGGTATGTACTTGCTCGTTGACAATATATCTTTAAGGTTAATGTCCCTCTGTTTTATCTAATTTTCTTCGCACTCCTATAAAATGACTAGAACCCTCTACTCTTTTTAGTGGTTTTGTTAGTAATGAGCTATGCATTGCTGGTTTCTCAGAAAACTTATTTCACAGAATGAGAAATTTCATCTTAATTTTAATCGTTACATATGCTATATTAGAGTTTTAATTAGTTGTCAAACCTTATCCCTCTCCCTGGATTAGAAAAATAGGTTTTTCTTTTTCAGGTTTTTGGCACACAACTTTTGTCTGGTCAAAGTTTTGGTGGGAATGGCTTATACATTTTCTGTTTTCAGATTGTAATGACCTTATGCTTGAAAAAACAATGTAGAAATCTTTCTTACTTCCATTTGCTTTTGTTAGTTCTTTAACTGGCGTTGCTAAGTTGTGGAGCATGCCTAAAGTTCAAAAGGTTTCCACTTTAAAAGGACACACAGAGCGGCTAACAGACGTCAAGTTTTCTCCAACAGACAACCTTATAGCAACTGGTTCTGCTGACCGGACTGCGAGGTTGTGGAATACTGAGGGATTTCACTTGAAAACATTCGAGGGCCATCTGGACCGTCTTGCACGTATTGCTTTCCATCCATCAGGAAAGTACTTGGGTACAACAAGCTTTGACAAGACATGGAGATTGTGGGACATAGACACTGGTGTGGAGTTGCTTCTTCAAGAAGGTCAAAGCAGGAGTGTCTACGGAATAGACTTCCACCAGGATGGATCACTAGCAGCATCCTGTGGGCTCGATTCACTTGTTCGTGTTTGGGATCTTAGAACCGGCCGAAGTATTCTTGCCTTGGAAGGCCATGTCAAGCCTGTGAGACTTAAAACTTTTTGACTTTTTCTTTTTTCTTGGTTGTGAATTGATTACTACGGTTTTGGTCACTTGAATCTCAGGATGCCCTCTTTTTCACTCTTTTTACTATCATTTCAGGTTCTTGGATTAAGTTTTTCGGCAAATGGTTATTATTTAGCCTCTGGGGGAGAAGACAATACATGTCGAATATGGGATTTAAGAAAGAAGAAATCCGTGTACATGATTCCAGCACACTCCAACCTCATTTCTCAGGTCAAATTTGAGCCTCAGGAGGGATACTTTCTCATAACTGCTTCGTACGATATGACAGCAAAGGTATTTTTCATTTCTATACAACAAAATTGCCGCACAGACGTCAAAACATTATCCCCTTTTTTTATGAGTTTCTTTCTGGGTTTATATCTTATATGTGCTCCATTTCATCATGTTTTTTGCATTATCCAGATTTGGTCAGCTCGAGACTTTAAGCCTGTCAAGACACTTTCTGGACATGAAGCTAAAGTTACTTCTTTGGATGTTGCAGGAGGTAGGTCTCATAGCCCTGAAAAAAAGTTTAAGCAAGTACATATATTTTCCATCTGCTAGATATAGTATACATTCACTGTTTTCCTTATCAAGTCTATCCATTGTGATGCTCTTAGTTTTCTCGTCTTCTTTGGTTATTTCCTAGAAGTTTTAAAATTAGGAAAGTATGTGGATGCATCTTCGTTCACTCAATTTTACCCAGAGCTAGCCAGAAAGTCCAACTAAGTCGTCGTTTATTAGTCCTCCATAACCTTTTTTTATCTAGACAACTTGCTCTATGCATTCCTTCCCGACGTTCTAGCCATTTTATCTTGTGTTACTCTGTCTGCCTATCTTCCCTGTCCTCTTATTTTCTATCTTTCCCTTCTTTTTTTTTTTCGTTTTATGTTTTTGTTTTTGTTTTCCCATTCTAAGTTCCTCTCTTGGTTTAAATCATGTTAAAAGACATTTTGCTCTTTGGTGTTAAGGTTATTGAATGTGTAAAAATGTTTAACATGAAATTTCAACCCTGGTAAAGTTAGAGATCTAGTTCACACTCTTTTGTTATTACAATTCCTACGTATCATTAGTAGAAAAACGGCTGATTAAGTCAGAACATTGCTTAAAGTAATTGTAAAAAAAATGTTTCTTTCTGTTATTGCTTTGTTTTGTAGCTTTGTTCACGTTTTAACAAAAGCGTATTGTTGGTGATGGCAGATGGGAATTGCGTAGCTACGGTGTCACATGACCGGACAATCAAACTATGGTGCAGCAATAACAGTGAGCAGGATCATGCAATGGATGTTGACTAGGAGCAGCTCTCAAGTTCTCCACTGACGTGTTATTATTATTTTTTTTCTTTTTTCTTTTTTTCAATCAACACGAGAAATTGTCTGAAGACTGAAATTTTGACTTGATAAGAATTGATATCAAAACTCCCTGTTCTCATTGATCGAGAGAGGAAAATTTGTATTGATAAAGAAAGAGAAGAGTACAGATGGTAGCAGAAAATTCGAGTCCTGCTAGCTCTCCCCTGAGCGATAGCTCTACAAATCACTAGAAATTTCCCTAATTTCCCAAATCCTCGCCTCCCCATTTTATTCCTTATCAGCTAACAAACCTGAAACTAAGTCTTGCAACTATCGAGGCAAGCAGCACAGCATGACAAACTTTCCCATATCCAAAAGGCATTCCTACCCCCCCGATGACTAGAAAAAAAACTCTCTTATCCTGACTTCTTCCCGCGCCTGACATGTGTAATATGAATGGGAGGTTTATTAATACCACCCACTCAAACTTTCACCTTGTCCGTAAGGTGAAAAGTGAGAAACTGCTTGTGAATGGTGTCGAAGGCTTCCTAAGTGGCCTCTTCAGCTGACCAACCTTGCCAATGTATCAGCACTTCAGGTTCGGTGGCATGACCCAAGCTAGAGGGACGAACACCCAAGACGGCTGCAGGCGTCACTGAGAGCTCCATGTCATTTGAGAGAGAAAGAGGCAGGTCTTGAGATGGATAAATGGCTCCTTCGGCCCGACGCAGCTGGGAGACGTGGAACACAAGGTGGATGGAAGAGGAAGAGGAAGAGGGAAGCAGTAGCCTATAAGTGACTGGATAGACACGCTCAATGACATTGTATGGGCTGTAATAGCAAGGAGTGAGCTTCTTGTTGCGGCGGCGCGCAAGTGACTGCTGACGGTAAAGCTGCAACTTTAGGTAAACCAAGTCCCCTTCTGCAAAAGAGACATAGCGGCGCTTGGCATCGGTTGAAGCTTTCATGCGCTGCTGAGCTTGAGGAGGTGCTACTTAAGTTCATCCAACACAGCATCTCAGTCAGCCAAGTGTCATTCCACAGCAGCCGCCGCCATGGATCCCGACTCAAAACAAATCAAGGGTGGGGGATCACGACCATAGAGTAGGCGGAAAGGAGTCATTATAGCAGCCGTATGGAATGAGGAGTTGTACCAGTACTCAGCCCAAGGAAGCCACTGGCGAGGCTTGTCAAAAACAACGAAGGTTAGCCTTGATGCAGCGATTAACAACCTCAGTTTGTCCGTCGGATTGAGGATGGTAAGTCGTGCTCTGTTTCAAAATAGTACCTTGGAGCTTCAAAAGCTCAGTCCAGAAAAAACTGAGGAACACCCGATCCCTATCCGATATGATAGAGCATGGAATGCCATGCAAACACACTATCTCCTTGATGAAGAGTTGGGCCACTGACTTGGCGGTAAAGGGATGTCAAAGAGGCAGGAAGTGAGCATACTTGCTTAGCCTATCCACCACCACCAGATTCACATTATTCCTATCAGATTTAGACAGCCCTTCCACAAAGTCCATTTTCAAGTCATCCCACACTTTGTTCGGCAAAGGAATAGGCTGGAGCAGCCCCCTTGGAGAATGAGCCATGGACTTGCTAGCTTGGCAAACCTTACATTGGGACACGCAAGACTCTATGTCCTTCCTCATTCCAGGCCAAAACCAGCCCGCCGCTAGCCGTTTGTAGGTTTTGAGAATTCCAAAATGTCCACCCATTAGGCTGTCATGGTATTCTTTGAACAACAAGGCGATGAGTGGGAACGAAGTGGGTATCACCATGCGGCCTTGGAACAGTAGTAGTCCCTGTTGGACGGTGTACCCTGGGTGGGAAGTCGGGTCAAGTAGCACCTCGGCCTTAATCTGGGCTAGACGCTCATCTTGCTCGACTTTGTGTTGAAGGGCGCTGGTGTCAAAGGGTAAGGAGACAGACAAAGGTGCGAAGGAAGGTTCGGTGGGTAGGCGAGACAAGGCATCAGCAGCCTTGTTTTCTAAACCAGGTCGGTATTGAATTTCGAAATCGTATCCCAACAATTTGGACACCCATTGCTGATGTTCTTGGCTCGCAAGGCGCTGCTCCAAGAGAAATGTAAGGCTCTTTTGATCAATGTGAATGATAAACTTATGCTCGAGCAGGTAAGGTCGCCATTTCTGAATGGCCAGCACGATTGCCATAAGTTCGCGCTCATAGATGGACTTAAGGCACGAACGCGGATAGAGTACCTAGCTGAATTAGGCCATTGGCCGCTACTCTTGCATCAGTACGGCACCCAAACCGTGGCTCGAAGCATTCGTCTCAATGACGAAGGCCTTCGAAAAATCCGGTAGGGCCAACACGGGCATATTGATCATGGCTTGTTTCAAGCATTGGAAAGCCTCCTCAGTTGCTAGATTCCACCCAAAGTTGTCCTTGCGAAGCTGTTCGGTCAACGGCCAAGCTATTCGCCCATAGCCCTCGACAAATTTCATGTAATACCCAGTCAAGCCTAGGAACCCCATCAACACTTTGAGTGATCTAGGTACTGGCCAATTAACCATGGCAGCAATTTTAGTATCATCCGCCGCCACCCCATGCTCCAAGATGATATGGCCTAAGTATTCAATCCGTCGCTGTCCAAAAAAGAACTTATTAGCGTTGGTGTAGAGTTGGTGCTGGGACAGTGCTGTCATAACAGTTCGCAAGTGGTCCACATGCACTTCAATGCTCGGACTATAAATGAGGATGTCATCAAAAAACACCAACACGAATTTACGCAGATAAGGCTTGAAAACATCATTCATCAAGGCTTGAAAGGTGGTCGGGGCATTAGTTAGGCCGAATGGCATAACCAAGAACTCATAATGCCCCTTATGAGTTCGGAAAGCGGTCTTGGGCACATCTTCAGCCTTCACTTCGATTTGATGATATTCTGACTTGAGATCTAACTTAGAGAATCACCGAGCTCCATGGAGTTCATCAAACAGTTCGTCTATGATAGGAATTGGAAACTTGTCGGGGACTGTCTCATGGTTGAAAGCTCTATAATCGACACAAAACCTCCAACTACCATCCTTCTTCTTCGCCAAGAGGATTGGGCTCGAGAATGGACTGCGGCTGGGCTGAATGATACTAGTAGCCAACATGTCCCTAACAAGGCGCTCAATTTCCCGTTTATGAGCTTGAGGATAACGATAAGGATGAACACTTACCGTCAGAGCCCCTTCCTTAAGGACAATGGCATGATCAAGGTTCTACTGTAGTGGAAACCCCGCAGGCATGTTGAACACTTACTCGTACTTACCACCAACTTGACTTCCATTGGAATCGGGTCTAATTCAGCTTTTGTCTCAGTGGCCAGGTGGCTGAATTCCAACAAAATCCTTTCCCTTTCGTGACGCAAGGTGCGAATCATGGACTTAAAGGGACACCCGAGTCTTGCAAAGGCTGGGGTCCCCCTGAAGCTGAACAAGCGTCTCCCCCACCTTGAATCGCATTGTTAAAGAGCTCTAGTTCACATTCATGGCACCCAACGTGGATAACCACTGCATTCCAAGGATAACATCCGAGCTTCCTAAGTCCAGCAGAAGGAAATCCTCCATTATATTTAATGATTGCATCTGCACCGCCACACCCTCACACATGCCCTCTCCTTTCATGGAAAGCCCTATCCCTATGATCACACCGTATCCGCTCGAATCTGCCATCGACAAGCCCAGCTTGGCCACCAAATCCTTCGAAATAAAGTTATGGGTAGCCCCACAATCAATAAGAACTACAACCTCCTGCCCTTAAGCTTCATGGTCTTAGGTGTAGTCAGCCCTATGACCGAATTTAGGGAAATCTCTACAACTCTGTCCTCCTCCTTCTCAACCTCCTCTTTTGGTTCTTCATCCTCCTCTGGTTCCTACTCATCATTGAACAAGAGAACTTGCAATTCCTTTTCCTTCCATCTATGCCCTATTGTAAACTTCTTGTCACAACGAAAACATAACCCCTTTTCTCTCTTAGATTGGAGTTCAGAATCAATAAGTTTCTTAAATGGAAAATCCTTTTTCTGACCTGAGTTTTTGTCTGGAAACGACACAATCCTTGGTGTCGTAGCCGCCACTGGTTAAGTTGGCCGAAAGGAATGAAACCCCGCCCCTCGTGGGCTTTAGACAGTTATAGCAACTATTTTCTATCTTCAATCCTTTGGGTCAACTCAATGATTTGAGTGAGCCCATTGGGCTACATCATTTGGACTTCGGCCCGAATCTCAGGTTTGAGCCCGTTGATGAAGTTTCCCTCCAGGACATGGTCCGGTACATCCGGAAGCAGCACTGCCAGGACCTTAAATTGCCGTTGATAATCTCACACCGTCCCTTCTTGGCGAAGAGCCAAAAACTACTCACTCACCGTTCCTTCTTGGGAGAAACGAAACCACTCCACCAGCAACGCCTTAAGCTCGACCCAACTCAGGATCCGCCTCCGACCATCCTCCCATTGGAACCACGCCAAGGCTTCCCCGTCGAGGCTCACTACCGCCGCTCTGAGTTTCTCCTCCTCCGTCATCGGATTGATGGCAAAGAAACGTTTAACCCGGAATACCCAACCTTCTGGTTTGTCTCCTTTGAACACCGACATCTTCAATTTCCTCACACGGTTCTCAAATCGAGCCTCGCTCACCTAAGCGTTTGCGCTCTACTCCCCCTCCTCCACCATCATCCATGATTTCAGAGGTTGCCGCACCTCCGACTCCTTCCTCTGCGATCTCGCTTCCTCAAATTACTTGGTGATCATCTGTTCCAACTTTCCAAGGACCAACGCCACCGCCTTCTCCAACTCCGGCAGTTTCTGAAGTTCCCCTCGAACTGATTGGAACTCCCTCTGCAAGGCTCCCACCAATTCGATCTCCTGCTGCAAAGCGCCAGAGAACTGATCGATTCTTTCCTCCAAAGTCCCCGTCTGTGCTGGTTTCTTCCTGACCATCTCCAAGATCGGCTGCTCTAATACTAATTTGATAAGAACTGATATCAAAACACCCTGGTTTGATTCACTAAGAGGGGGAAATTTGTATTGATAAAGAAAGAGAAGAGTACAGATAGTAGCAGAAAATTCGAGAGTCCTGCTAGTTCTCCCCTAAGCCATAGCTCTACAAATCACCAGAAATTTCCCTAACTTCCCAAATCCCCGCCTCCCCATTTTCATTCCTCATCAGGTAACAAACCTGAAACTAATTCTTGCAACTATCCAGGCAAGCAACACAGCATAACAAACTTTCCCATACTGAAAGACGCTCCTACCCCCCATGACTATAAAAAAGACCCTCCTATCCTGTCTTCTTCCCGCGCCTGACATATGTAATACGAATTGCGGGTTTATCACGACTCCAGAGTAGCATTTTTGAGAGATGTGATGGTTGATCATGTGAGGTGCTCTCTTTATTCAATTCAAATGTGAATTTAACCGCAAATTGAGTTACTCAAAGAGATGTGTTGGAATACCAGCTCTTAAAGGGGTATTACTCTTTTTAACTCACCAAAAATTTCAATCCAGACGTGAAAAGGGACAACATGGGAAATGAACACAACCAAAATCGTCAATCGATAACTAACTTGTGAAAGTAGAATATATATATATATATAAAAAAAAAATTTTCAAGTGTAAATATATTTCGTGTCAGAATCTATTTTTTTCTCTGTTCCTTCTTTCATGAGGCTGTCATTTTCCTCAAGAATCTAAGAAAATTTTCTCTATTTCACCAGTGTACAGAGTGATACTCTACAGCAGGATTGGTAAACATTCCAACAAAACCCAGTGAGCAAAGTTTCCTGGATGTTAAATAACAATAAGCTTTTCAAGTGTAAATATATTTCGTGTCAGAATCTATTTTTTTCTCTGTTCCTTCTTTCATGAGGCTGTCATTTTCCTCAAGAATCTAAGAAAATTTTCTCTATTTCACCAGTGTACAGAGTGATACTCTACAGCAGGATTGGTAAACATTCCAACAAAACCCAGTGAGCAAAGTTTCCTGGATGTTAAATAACAATAAGCTTGTTTCACTGTTTGCTGCCTCATTTGTACCAACCAGCAAGGAAGTACCCCAGCAGGAAGCAGAAGAAGCATGCAATGGCCTGTTGAAATTAAAAAAGAAAAAAAAAATAGTCAGATTCGTAGAATTAACTAAAGGGGGGCAAACATGCACCCATAGAAAGAAAATCTTGATGTATTTGTGGCCGGGGTCGTGCGAAACAATACGCAGGACGAGAAAGCTGTTGGAGGATCATCATCATGATTAAATTCTCGCCTTATCTTAAGATGAAGCTGCCTATCTGTAAGGGTTTTTCTTGGAGCCATACAAACATGATTCATAAGAGACTAATGAGTGAGCCTAGAACAAGTATTTATCTAGAACCTAATAAACATGAATTATTGAGTGATGGGAATCTCAGCAGTTAAGATTTGATATTACCTAAGCTAAATCTGCAGGTTACATAACATAAAAAACTTCAAGAAAAACAAGGTTATAGGAGAGAATCACATAGATAAGATACCTGAAAAACAAGTAGATAGATGCAGAGCGACTTCTCTGACATCCTGCCAAACTGTCTCAGAAAGAAGTTAACAAGTGTCCCGTCATTTGTACCCGTCAATAGTTTCGTCTGAGGATCAAACCTAAAAAGTAAACAATGAGTAAGATGTTAATAAATATTATCCACATAATGACAGTTCTCCAACGATGATCATCTATAGAGAATACAGAAAGCTACCGGGGCAGGCGGTGCCGTGGACATGGAACTATGCCAGCAAGCTAACAAAAAATAACAGCGAATTAGGCTGGTTAACATTTAGCGCATTCTGATATGTCAAACATGAGAAGATAGGGAAAAGAGAGAGTGAACAAGCAAATGAGAGGAGGGGAAGGAAGAGAGATTGAGCAGATAACAAACCTGGGGAAGTGATAAGAGGAAGTTCAGAACTTGAGGAGCAAAGAAAATCAAGAGTGTTTCACTGTAACAAGGGGGAAAAAAAAGGGTGAGCTATGGACTGCTTAGTAACGCAGGCGCAATAAAATGATTTAAACAACCTGTTGGCAAATACAATAACTCAGTATGAGGAATCTCTGCGCTCTCTTACACCCATTTAATTATCTGCTTTATGTCACTCGATGTCTTCTCTGAATCTTTTTCTTTCATGACATGGATAATTTTCTTCCTCTTTTGGATTTTTTTTTTTTTTTTTTTTTAACTTCAGTTTGTATGTTGTATTAGGACATTTCTTTCTGTTTTGATGTTGAAAAAAAAAGCTTCCTATTTCGTGTATTAAACTTATAGTCTAGGCTAGAATATGATAGTGAAATTTGGAATTCAAGGGATCACACCTAAAATGGCCTAAAATCCCAACCACAGCCATAGTCATTCCAGCAAAGTATGTATAAGTATCCCCAACAAACACTGAAGAAGGATACCTGAAACCATGAACAGAAAAGTTTCACACTTCAATGCAAGAAGAAGCAAAAGAAAAAGCCACTTGGTCAATAGTGAAGAAATGTCACCAATTGTAAGAGAGCAAACCCAAGGAAGTGGCCAGTAAAGGCTGAACCAGATAAATAGAGAACGCATGCGCCTGCTTATACTCGGGATCAGTAGATGCCCCAATTTGCATGATATTGTGTATCACAATCTACAATAACAAATTGTCACTTAAAAAACGGTTTTAAACTGCAACTTTTAAAGTCTCTCTATCCCTTTTTTTCATCATTTATTTACTTTTGCCAAATGCTTTAAAAGCCTTTTATGCTTACAGCAGATGAGATGACAACGGTTTGCCCAACTTCAAGACCATTCAAACCAGCATGTATATTGATGGAGTTTGTACAAAAGACCGCCAACAATCCCATATATAGTTTATATATCCATCCTTCATCAAAAGAAAAATATAAAAATAATAATTATCAAACCAGTAACCACAGATCTACATACGCAAAAATATCTACAACGTTGTAAAAGGTAAAAACAACAAGGTTGCAAACGTTTTGGCCAGTGTGAAGCTATTTCTTGCCATCCAAAGAACTTTTCAATGCTAAATTATATCATATATTCAGGCTACTGAAGAAAAAAACGCTAGTGTGCTTTGAGAAGAACCTAAGGAAATAGATGATTTCCGCTCTTTACATGTAAAGAAGGAATTACATTGTCAGGTGAAATCAAAAGGGCTATATCTCACAAATTAAATTCACGTATCATGCAATTCGATTTCATTCAATTCAGTCACTAAACTGCTTTATTTTTTTTCCTCTTCTCTATTTTTTTCCCTCTTCTCTACTAGGTTCTAATTTGAACAACTTAATCAAATATCTTTATTAATTTGACGTTTTTAATAACGAACATTCAAATAATTTATACATTCACAAAAATAAAGAGCAACTGTTGATGAAATCAAATTGATTTCACTATTAAGAGGGATGGAAAGAAGAAAAAAATTACCATAAAAGGCATTTTTTACATACTTCCAATACCATGATAACATACCTAGATCCAAAAGCTCCAGCCCCACATATGGAATGAGAGGCTTTGGTATAATGATAGTTGTATGTCCAGCATAGGCCATCAGCAGAGGAAGAGCAGCAAACGACGGCAGTATTAGTTTCCTGCTCTTCACAATTTCAAGAAGCCTCATGCAATATTAATGCAAAAATCTATGCCAAGGAAGACAACTCCTAAGAAAAAAAAAATGATAAAACAAAATGTACAATGTTTTATAGAAAAAAAAAAATGATACTCACACCCTCCAAGGGACATCAAGGACATCATCCACAAATCCAAGCAATAACATGAAACATATGGATGCTAATGCCGCATTGTACTCAACAAGCCACTGCATGATCAATATACTTACAATTTAGTCTAGCAATAAACCATCTAATGAGATCAATAAACAGAAAGAGAGAAAAAAAAGGTGTCATATTTTCATCATTTGGATCGGAGAAAGACGATTTCCATTCTGAATGCATGAAACAAAGTCAAAGTACAATGATAGATTACACTTACATTTGAATCGGCTGTAAAGTTAAAATACTGAAACAAGATTGCCAAGACCATGAAGACAATTCCAATGGCAATACCCAATGACTCTGGCCTGTTAAACAAAACTGGCATCATCAAGCAACATAAAATAACTGTAGGAAAATAAAATGGAAGGTTTTAAGAAGAGCAATCATCAAAACGCAACATAAATTCAAAAAAAATTCACACTAACCGTCAGAATAATATCTAACTATTACCACACGGCATAAATATAGACCAATCTTAGTACATTCCCGGTAAATAACTTGGTTGAAAAACCAGCCTTTTATTATAACTCCACGGGTATATGACATTATCATGTACTTAACACCTAATCAACCCAGAAATCAAGTCTATAAGATACCTATATAAATATATATATATATATATATATATATATATATAAACAGGCATCAAACATCACACGAGATATTCTCAATCAAAAAGCAAACTTTGCTAACCATCAAAATAATATAATAATTAAGATATAATGCTGAATGCAACAAATTTAGCCACATAATCATCACCTGGTCCGATTAAAAACCAAATTTTTCATAAATCCCCAGCAAATAAATATCATAAAAAACCCATCAATGCCAAGCGAATTCAGAAATCTTTTCAGAAACCAAATCTAGCACATCTCATTCCCCATGAATTCAACTAAAAAAAAAAACCAAACTTTACACGGACTCACCTCACAATTTCACCCCAAAACCTCATAAAACAAACAAAATCATAAAAAAAGAATGATAACAGTAACTCACACTTTGACAGTGCCCTGAGGAGTGCCCTTCTTATTGATATCATATCCAAAGAGATTTCGCCTCAGAACGTATCTGGAAGCGACAGGGATCAACTTAACGGTGACGAAGAAGCCAGCGAGGCTGAGACCAGCATTTATGAGAATCGACTTCTTGAGCTCCGAATCGATCTTGTAATGGTAGAAGATCAGGTAAAAGTAAGGGACTAAGAAGAAAAACGAGAGCTTCAGGATCACGCCTGACTTGGGCGGCGCTATTGGAGGGTCGTTCGAGCCTTGGGGTTTGCTCTGCGACGTTTCTTTTGGCTGTTGTCGTTCTGCGGATGAGTCCGTTGAAGCTCTCTTGCGAGCAGCCATGGCGGTCTCTCTCTCTCTCTCTCTCTCTCTAGAGGACTTTGAGTTTTTTTTTTTTTATTTATAAAAAAGTTCTTTTTTTTTTCTGCGTCTAAAATCGGCGGCGTTGTAGGCTACTTTAGCCTAGCGTGAGACTTTCGCATGCTTCGTCATTTGGACCAACCAGATGTTGCCACCTCAGCAAAGTGAGTCTGACCTGTCAGATCCTGCTACGTCCTATTAGTTCGCACTTGGGGTAAGCCAACAGAAATGCGCGCAAGAGAGCCGCTTCAACGGAAAAGCTTTCAAGCGCGAGCGGGCTACTCTCACGAGTCTAACGTGGAATTAACTAGGATTAACTATCTAAGCAGATTTAAAATTTGTATTTTATGAGTTTTAATTTATTATAAATGAGTTTGAATTATAATTAAATTAATATAATTAATATAATTAATAAATAAGTTAAATTATGGTTGATCTCTTAATATGAAGTGACACGATTAATTATATGTGTCATCTGCAATCTAATGATATGTGATATAACATGCAGTTTATATGACATATTAAATACAAGTAATGTGAATTTTAATATTTATAGGTAAAATTCATTTATTTTTCTTAATTTATCAATAAACATGTTAAACTTGTATTGACTGTGTTATATAAATCATTATTATTATATTAGTTATTTATTAAATATATTAATTTAAATTGGTTATACGAGTTGACACGATTAACACGATTAATAAATTAGTCGTGTTTGGGTTAACATTTTTAACACATTTAATAAGCAGATCGTGTTTAAATTGATATTTTCTGATACGATTAATAAACGGATTGATACGAACACAACCCACAAATACGAATTGCCACCCTTAAAATTAACAAGACTCATTCATCTTTTTTAATTTTAATAAATAAATAAATCTATTTGGTGGGAGGTTAAAAGAGAATGAAGATAATTGTCTTCTTTGGCAAGTGACAATCACTATTGGCTAGAGTTTCCGGCCCTAGATTGTGCTTTCCCACCTTCCGGCTGTAAACATGGGAGCTCCTAGTCAGACGTCGCTTTCAGAGAATAAATTACAATTAAAAAACTTAATTTAATTTTAATTTTAATTGGATAATTTATCAAATAAGTCAATTAAAAAATTTAAAGAACAAGCAACTGAATCCTCAAATTCTCACAGTGCTGGGTGTGTATACCATGTGGACCCTTCCACATGTGTGTTCTAAAATTCAAAGTTAAATAATCACATTATTTAATATTTAATTAATTAATAATTAATTATTATTGAACGTTCTATTTAGAATATCATAATTCTAAAATTTTCATTTTACCCTTAGTGTCTTGTAGGATTACAAACAAGGACTCATAAACTTATAATTATGAGCTACAATAAAATTAATAATTAATTAAAACTCTGTAATTAATTACTTCTATTAATTTTGAAGTTCTTCCACTATAAACTTAGAATTGCACTCTCTAATTAGATAAAATTTACTTTTAAACTGTGAAGTGTCCATTTGATATAATCATTATATATAGATCAATCATCCACAAATAATTCATAATTAGAGTTAAGTGAAATCCGTTAATCTATCTAATTACATCTTTATCCTTGAGTATCATTGATTTTCTAATAGATAGTGATTCATAAAATAAATTCATGAATTGGAGCTCTCAGTAGTCTAAGTACCGAATCAATCCTCAAGAGAATTATTTATCTGTTTCTCTCTTAAGAATGAATGGATTACCTCTTATTTATTAACATTTCCGGCTACTCACTTCATCATATCTCCAAGATACAAAGAATATGATTCAACATCTCAGAATCTGTACCAAGTAAATCAAAATATACAAATCCATAAATAGGAGTCTGCTAATAACTTAGGATTAAGATCATTTTATATATGACCATCACTAGACTCAATTAGAATTTCTATACTTAATAGAAATTATCAGAAATTCATATTATGTATGTGTCCCGGTTCCACATATTCTCATTATACGTAATACACTCATTCAATATCTTGTCATATTAATCGTACGGATAACACTGTTCCATTCTTAATGGGAATGACATGTATCAATTTTAATTAAAGATTCTGAACTTAAATTAAATTCATTACGAACATCGTTTCGATTATTATCTTTAAATATTATCCTCTTGCATATAACATTTATATACAATATTTAAGGTCACATAAATAATCATAGAATTTTCAATGATATTCATAAAATATTCAATAATATATACACATAAAATAATGATTAAACTCTTTTATTAAATAAATAATAAATATCATATTATATCCCATGCTTCTAAGACACTATTCTCAACAAGCCCGACCTGGCCCGAAATTTTGCAAAGTATTTTAAAAAAACATCCTTAAAACTATGATAGAGAGGGTCGGCCCAACCCGGCCTGTTACGCCCTCAAGAATTAAACATGTTTAATTATGATAATTGTGTATATTAGTGTGCCTAAAATTGATTTTTTCTAATTAATCTTATAATTAAAGATTAAATTTTTGAGTTATTTCAAGGATTTATAAATTACTTTCAGTTTTTCAATTTTCACCCCAAATTTTTTTAAAAATACACTTAATTTTAATGTATTTTCTTTTAATTTTCTTTTCTTTTTCCTTTTTTCATTCTTTTTCCTTTTCTTTTCTTTCTTTTCTTTTTCTTTTTCCCTTCCCTTCCTTTCCGTGGCTGCCCAGACCACACTCCCTTTCTCTTTCTTTCTTTCTTTCTTTTTCTTCTTTATTCTCCACGGAAAATCTCTCTCTCTCTTTCTTCCTTCACCGCCGGCCACCACCCCCTCCCTCTCTCCGGCCATCTCTCTCTCTTTGGGTCTCTCTCCCCCTTGCTCTCTCTCTGGGTTTTTCTCTCTCTCTCTCTTGGAGTTCCCTGTCGAAACAGGGAAGAAAGAAAAGAAAAAAAATGAAAATGAGAGAAACAGAGGGAAACAAGGCTCCATCAACTAATTTGAGGTGAAACCCCTTAAAACCTACTCTTTGATTTGAATTTTAAACTTGAGAAAGATTGATTTTGGTTAGATTTGAATAATTTTGAGTTAGGGTTTGGATTTAAATAATTGTTGTTATAATTGAATAACATTTGGGGGTTTTCAGTTATTTGACTTGTTGAATTGATTGGAAACTGGTTTTGATAATTTCTGGAGAATTTATTTTAAAATTGAACTTGAATTGCAGGTTTGACATTTTTCCTATTTATGTCGGCATGCTGCCGAAATTTCTTTAAAAAGTTATTTTTAAGCTGAAATTAAATAGGAAACCAAACCCATGAATTGGATTTCAATCTTTAAAGAACCCCCAAACTGATTATAAAATTGTTTGTGAAACTTGAATTTGAGTCAAGGCACACTAATAGGAAACAATTAAACATGATTGAGCTTAATTCGTTTTAGGAATGAGAAATACTTCCTAAGATATTACTTTTGTGGCAAAGCTAGTGGAGAAGGTCAAGTGTTAAAGCTTTAAGGAAAGCAGAGGCTAGGAGAACGAAAGGCTAGCCCATGTTTGATATATGAGAGGTAGGATATTTTTGTCCATATCCTTGTTAACCTTATTTTAAATGGTTTTGGCCAATGAAAATGTTTTAGAACAAAGTATGTTTCAAGAAATGATTTTAAATGAGTAGCGTGAATAATGCTATTGAGTTTCCAATGATTTTTAGAACTGTGATTTTTAAAAGTATCATTTCTTAATATGAAATATTTTAAGAAATGATAAGACGCAGTGTGGCCTCAGAGATCGGGATATGGGAATCGTATCCTAGGGGGCAGAACCCTAAACCCATACGGATCAACTACTTGCTCAGTGGTGTTATGGCTCTATGTATTTTCATTATACAGACCTTTTACCACTTCTTGCTTAGTGGTGTTATGGCTCTGCACATTTTCATTATACAGACCTTTTACCACTTCTTGCTCAGTGGTGTTATGGCTCTGCATATTTTCATTTTACATATATCTTACCACTACTATGTGAGTATTTCCTTTTTCAAAAAATGAGGATGATCGGTTCCGGGTGTATGTCTTCAGACCGTGAATACTTTTATTTACAATATTTTATAAAATTGTATGATCAGTTCCGGGTGTATGTCTTCGGATCGTGAGTACTTTTATTTATAATGTTTTATAAAATTATATCCTATTGGGCCTTTCGCTCACTTTTATTATGTTTTTCATGTTTTAAACCCCTCTTCCAGAGTTAGCGGTTTAGATTTACATTGTGACAAGTGGATGCTAATGGATTAAAGGCGCAAGATTCAAAGCGGTACGTTTGTTTCAGATTTACAGTTTTAAATTCTGAGATTAACTGTATTTCTGTATGTAAATTGTATTGGTCGACATTGTCCCAGAGTTGTACTATTTTCCTTGGACTTTATGGATTGTTTTAAATATTATTTGTGAAAGAAAGTCTCCAGAGCAAACTATATTGATATTTATGTATTTATTTTTGTAATTTTGTTAAACAAACCAGTTTAATTAAGTTAAATTTTAAATTAAACCCCAATAATCACGACCTTATCCTTGGGGTTGTGACAGTTTTTTGTATCAGAGCACGACTTCGAATTCTATGGGGAATCGAGCATGTGTGAGTTTTTACTGAGTTTTGTTGTTCTTTTAACAGTTTTGTGTCGGGACGTGTCGTACAATACTAGTTAATACATGATACAATTGCACTTGAGAATTTGACGTTAGAGTCCGTTTCATTTTCCTATAGCACTTTGATGGATGGAATCCATATTTCTATTATCAATGTTTATCGATATGAAGATCGAGGGTAAAGTTGATTTTGAAGTTTTCGGGAAGTATTGATTTCGACCCGATGGTTATTGATTTATTTCCATAAGTACTCTTGACTCTTGTCAGTTTAAAATTCAAAATTAGTATTGACTTCGAAATTCTCATGAAGATTTCAATTTTGAGATGATAGTTGAATTCTCGATATTGGTCCCTTTTACTTTTTGACACGTTTAACATGGGGGTTTAAGTTGATAGGGAGCGACGACTTGAAATCAAGCTTTGTATCCTAGCTACTCGTTTCAATTCATT